ACTTCCTCACAGACTAGTAAGAGTTGAATGTCCTCAAAGCTTGTATATTTTGCCATCTAAATAGGACTCCAAGGATCAATGTACACAATTAAAAATGTATTGCATATTGCAAGTCTGTTTCAAAAGCCTACATTTCCTCCAAGGACCACCAGCAGTGCATAGGATAGATGCCAAAAGTAATCGCAGCAATTAGCAATGTGTTCTCTCATGGTAGACTTGAAGAAAAATCTAGTTTTGTAAAATTTTGATAACCGTTATATGAAAGTTTTTTATTTCTATGAAAAACATTGTTTTCATTTTAGTCTGCAGCCAGCTATAAATTCTCTATAACCAAAAAAAACCAGGACCTCTCTTCCTTAAGTTGCCCATACACCCAACAATTATCGTTCAAAAATCGTCCCCGAATGGTCTTTTGTATAATATTCGATCAGTTGATGGGAATCCAACAATTTTTTTACCGGGCTGAATTTTCTCGATGGGTGAGGCTAGAAAACTTTTTTCGAATCATACCAAAAAAAAAAAGGAAGATGACATTTGTGGCACACTGCACATGCGCAAACAAAAATCCGTTGTGTTGATGGTTGAAATTAGTTTAGTTAGTATTGCTAACGAACGATTATCGAAATCAACATTGGTCAACATGAGGTATTCGAGCAGAAATCGAACTTGGACATGTATGTATACATGTCTATAACTGAAAATACCAACACCAGGAGCACCCAGGAAGGTAGCAGTTATCATTTGTCAACAATGGAAGCACATATATTTCTTCAATGAAGCAGTGGTGGACAAATTAAAAATTGTGTCACCACCCCAGCACAACAAACTACTAAGATTTGTTTATATCAAAGCCAATCTGTTGACAGCTTTAACTGCTGGGTGAACTTACCGTGTTTCCCCGAAAGTAAGACCTACCCCGAAAATAAGACCTAGTGCTATCTTTGGGGATTTGTATAATATAAGACCTACCCCGAAAATAAGACCTAGTTCGGTGGTAGGTCTTATATTACAGAAATCCCTGAAGATAGCGCTAGATCTTACCTACGGGGTAGCTGCACATGTAATAAAATTTTACATGTGAAGACCGGCCGCAGCTAAGACTGTCTTATTTTCGGGGAAACACTGTAGTACCATCGTCCTAATCTATTCACAAGTAACATTTCCTTTAGTCTACTGGATTCTGACAGCAGCAGGTATGGAAAAAAAATAAAAAATAACTCCACTTTCGTCAAATGGGGGAGTCCCAATGGGGCTCCAAATTGCTCAAACTATAACCACTGTATGGCCAGCTTTAGACCCATGGGTGATGCAGTTCAGCACGAGAACTAAGGCAAATTCAAGTAAAATGCCTATTTTTAAACCCCAACTGAAGTTTGGTCATTTAAAACAAATGCAATTTGTACTAAGTTCTGCAGCAAGGGGTCAAATATCCTATACTGCCAGTGCAGAGAGGCAGGAATGTCAGGCCATGGCTCTCTCATACAAAGCAGCAGCCAGGTTCTCCAATGGTCTGACTAAATAGTGTTCATATACATGTGATGGAAGACATTGGTTTACAGCACTAAAGCAAAACTCCGGGCAGAATTTGTATTAATCCACAGAGCAAGCTTGTACTTAGACCAGCCCCCTGGAGCCTCTCTCTCCCTCTGCTATTGCAGTCTAAGGTCCCGTAAATCATCACGTTCTATTCACAGTCACCAGGAAAGCAGGGAGCCGGCTCAGCGCTTTGAGTTAGGAGAACTTTAACGCACCTAGACAAAAACGAGCAATTAAACCTTGCAGTGTGGGGGGTTAAGAACAAACCCACATGCAAACCATTTTGTCTCATTACCTCAGCAGATTTCAAGTACTGTGCATCAGGATACTACAGTATTTTTTTCTCTTGTTGAAAATGTCCCTCATGTGATCAAACTGAATTATCATTCACTTTAGCAGCATGAATATTATGACCAGATATCAGTCATAAAAGGGAAGTAATCCAACAAATTTGTCGGAGGCTATAAAAGGAACAGCAAAGAGAAGCATTTGCTGCTTTCATCAATCTAATTACTTTCTAGGCAGCAGACACTTATCTTCTCCATTTTATGTATGTAAATCAATGCTATTGCGGTCAGGATTATTAAATGGCATGTGTAAAACTGCACTCAGAAGAGGAATGTTGTTTTCGTGGGTGTATAGTCAACGTCCAGCTGCATTAAACAGGATTTGGCCACACACCACACTTGCGGATTTAATCCAGCTTCAACACCCATGAATTCAGCCAAAAATGAAAAATAATCCTGTTGCTAGAGTAAAGTGCCAGGATCAGCTACTTTCATGCCTCCTCAGCCAGTCAGTCCACTGTGATGGCAGAGCAACCATTTCAAACCACCCAAGAAAGAATGGGTACTGTAATTGGACAGACCTAAAAACTCCTAGAAAACAAAGGGCATCACGAGCTTGAAGTTGGCAATGCAGCTTAGTTGCTGACAATGCCATCGCTAGTGCATATAGTGAAACAATAACTGCATGGAAGCAGCGTGGTCTTAAAGTCATTTAAACACAGAACTAGTGAAGAACAAAATGGCATTTTCACTTAAGCGAGGGGTCTGTAAAAAGCTCAAATAGACAAACAAACAATCGTTTTGAAAATGGTCCTGCAAAATAATTCCTTGCTTCAACAATTAGAAAGAGAAAATTGTATAATAAGCCAGTTTATGTTTAGGCTCAAGAACACAAAAAAAAAAAAAAATCATCAAGGAGGTGCCTGCGCCAACATGTTAGTCATATTTAAACCTGTACTAGCAAAATGATAGCTGTAAACTCTTTGGCATAATGACCACAATCCCCGGTTTGCTATGTTTTTGAAAGCAACCATACCAGTATTGTTCATGTGTGTATGTGTTCTAGGGTGCTTGCTCAGAAGCATATGAACTATCTTGTATGTGTTTGGAAACACATGAAAATGGGTAGAGCATATAATCTTACTGGATCCTGGAACTTAGTTCTAAATACCAACCAAGCAGTCCATCACTTACCAAGTTCTAAATGTACATATTAAGCCACACATTCAGTATTGGACCCTGCTAATGCCATCATCTTATTAAATAGCCAGTAGCAAGTACTCATAGCTTTTCAGCTGGCACTAGCAAGTGTTGCCAACTTGCCCTAAGTGGGGTGACTACTTAAATTTAGTTTGCTAGGACTGTATCCAGTCGTACAGTCTTGTATTTGACTTTCCCTAAGGATTCTGTTATTGATTGCATCTGCCTGCTGCTTGGTGTAGCCTTGCCACATGTTATGGATATCGATGCCTCTCCAGCCAATCACTAGGCATTTCAAAGCCAGTGGTGCATGCTGGGAGAGGGCAAATATCTGGGTCTGACCATGTGAGTGTCTCCTCTTCCCCCGGGTCTCCTGCCTGGGGAAGGCATGTTACATGTATGCTGTCTGACCAGGCCTGAAGCTTGCAGGTAGTCAGATGTGGACCCAGTAGGGGCCCAGAACTATTCCTGGGATGGAGAGCCAGGGAGGAATTTTGTCTACTGGAGAAGTCAGGATGTGCTTGGACCTCGCAGGGAGTCTAGTGTCTCACTCAGGGGAAATCTCAAACATGTCTACCAACCAGCTACGGCTCTCTAACACAGTGTCACTGCATTTTCGGTTTAAAATTCCTTTACACTCTGAATATCAACCAGACTGCTGTAAGATACCCTAGGCTTTAAATGCTGTGTTATCAAATAAAAAGAACATATCATCTAAAAATATAATTAGGGGAAGCAACTGCAGGAGAGCGTGTTGTTTGTCTTCTATGTTGCTATAATAACTTGTAAAACTACACAGAGGAATTACTTTTAACAGAAGTTTATTAAACTGGGCTCAAAGCCAGATGATTTGTGGCATCACCACATGTCAGAAACAATCTCCCCCACCTCTTCGACATGCAGGATGATTGCAACACACCGTTTAGCCACGTGATTAAAGAAACCGTGATTTCCAACTACACTTAAAGCTCATACACTGTACAATCTGAAGTGAGAGCTAAAGGAGACTGTACAATTCACTATGTAGTGTAAGAGCATTTCTGATTTGATACAAATGTAAGAGATTTAGGTTCGTCCTCATATCATAGTGTTAGCAAATCTAAAAAAATTGTACACAGATTTTACAATCAGGTTGTATGGAGTATGGCTACATTAATGATTGCATTAACTATTAACAAAAATGGATCTTATTTGTGCATCACTCTGCTGTAGATCCTCAAATCATCTCTGAATTGGTGCTGACACTGTCCTTCATTCTGCAGGGTGGCTACTTTTGTTCCCCATAGTCCCTGTGTGTTGTATAGTAGTCACTGCTCCAAGCTCACTCCTGTGATGGACTACAATCTCACATTTCATTTACTAATTTGTATTGAGATTATAGTCCATCACAGGAGCAAGCTTGGAGTGGTGACCTTCACAACACACACAGGGACCATGGGGAACAAAAATAGCCCCCCTCCAGAAGGAAGGACAGTGTCAGCTTGAATTCAGAGATGATTTGGGGATCTACAGCTGAGTGACACACAAATATGTACAGTTTAGTTAATAGTTAAAAGGTATTTGAATGCATATTTAAGATGTAACTACTGAGTTAAGGATCACTTTAACAGTGTGAAAATAACAAAAGGCAACTGGTGGTGTGACTAGAGTGCAATAAAAAGTGTATTCAGTGCATGCTGTATAATGCACAGATTGGTAGCGCTATGGTTCGGAACCCCTTGCCACCAGTTTTCATCACTGAGCTACAATACAAAATTAAACCAGTAGATGAGGTTGCAGCTGAACCTTGAAATCACTACCTCTGGTCCTGACCAAGTGGAGCGGCCATATTCACACTTCTGCATGAATAATGGTGCAAGTGTTAACACATGAACCAATATTATGTGGTGTGTATGCACTGAAAATCATTTTTAATGGCAACCAAACAGGAAACAGAGCCATTATAAAACATATAGACCCTTAAGCTCAGAAAACGAGGCAGGTACTTTTTCTGAACAAAATAAAAATGTACCTACAAGTAGGAATGGGACCTAACCACTCCATTTCAATGAAAACACCTTTAAGAGCTTTTTTTTTTTTCTTTCTTTGGGAGCGATTAAAAAAAAAAACAAGAAAAAAAAAAAAAACAACAGGACAAAAATGGGGAAAGCATTACTTTTGTTTTTGTGTTACCTTTGAAGGTCATCAAGGGTTCCCTCAGCAGAAGAGCAAGGACTAAGTCGGAGAACATTCTGCTTCAGGTTCAGGTGGGTAAGATCTTGACTGTAGAACAGGTTTTCAGGAAGGTGCTCCAAACTACAACACGACAAGTCCACAGAACTGATCCTTTGGGAAGCAATCTGGGGGTGACACATGAAATTAGTATGAATCATAGAACAAAGCAACTAGTATAGTAAGAGTGCAAAACTATTGGGGAAAAAAAACAACAAAAGGGGAAACATTACAGTCAATTCAGTATGAAATATTTGAAACTAAACACATTGGAGGGCATCTATGGTGAAAACCTAAAAATAAATATGCATTTCCATATAATCATATCTAGACGTTTGTAAACTTACTTCCCAGATAGCAAGGATAACTTGCCACAAACATGTGGCAGCATTAAATTGTAATTCTTTCTAACTTCCCGCACACATTCCTGGCAAGTTGTAGACTTGCAGAACACTTGCAGCACAAGTTTTAGTTGACACTTTTTTAAATTTGTAGCAAATTTGCTTGGCAAGTCTACAACAAGAGTCCTGCAGGTCTTAGCAAGAGCTCTGCAAGTGTATAGTACTTTTGCAAAGCACGTTGATCTGGAGACTTGCAATGCAGGCTTGCTGTATTTGTGCAACAAAATTGTGAAACTTGGCAAGTCTAGCAATAGGTTTAGCAAGTCAATTTCAAAGTTGCAGCTCAATTGCTTGTTATCTGGGTTATTGATGATGCAGTTACACAAATTCATTCAGCCCTGTGAATATGCACTTCCTTGTGTCATAACTTTCTCAGAGCCTGCCTTCTGAGCTACAAATCCACGTCTGAACAATGTAACATTATTATTGCTTGCTGAAAGCAATGCACTATGGGATATGTAGTCTTAAGAAATCAAGATTGCATCACATCAAGCAGCAGGGAATGTGATGCAAAGCACATTGGGAATCCAGGAAGCTGGTGAAAGTGATGGGCAGACGGAAGGCATCACCCACTGCATAAAAGGTTTTTTTTAAAGTAAGCTCTGATTGCATTAGCAAAAACTATAGTATGCATTCCTATTACAATGCTGCTGTTATAACAGGATAGTATATACTGTTTGATAGGACTGCAGCTAACAATTATTTTCAGAATTGATTAGCCGGTTATTAACTTAGATTAATCGTATTTAAAAAAACACAACATCCTTAATTTATAATAAAATACGCGACTATACCCGACATGTGTAGCGCAATCGTTTTTTCATGTACGTGCACCCGACTTGTGTTTCTGTTAATATATGTGTGTTTTCAGGTTGCGGGACTTTCAATCTTTGGGAGACATTTTTACATTTAATTTAATTTTTTTTAACCTCATTGCTATCACATGGCCCCTTAAGTGATGGCACATTGGAGGTGACAGGTTCTCTTTAAGGTGACATTAGCGGTCATCTTTTCACTTCAGCTGAATGCCAACATAGCATGCAGTGGCTTGGAGCAATACCCAGCCTGCTATTGGTTATTTTGAATTGCAATAGCCGGCTGGCTATTGCACCCACCCACTGCCTGCAGTCAATCTGCAGAGCCGGGACCTGATGGAGAAAGTTCTCCATCAGATCCTCCTCTGCCGATTGACAGCAGGCAGGTGCAATAGCCAGCCTGCTATTGGTTATTGCAATTTGAAATATCCAACAGCAGGCTGGCTATCGTTTCCAGCTGCTGGATAGGAGTCTCGACTCCGGAACACTGGCTTTCTACCACCGGCAGAATAGGGGGGCACAGGGGAGCAGCAGATGCACAGCAGGAGGTAGAACAGAGCACAGCAGGAGGAAGAACAGGGGACAGAACAAGGCACGGCAGGAGGAATG